ACGGTGCTAATGTTAATGTACAATCGCTGAACGGTTTCACACCACTTTACATGGCTGCGCAGGAAAATCATGAATCCGTTGTACGCTATCTTCTTGCGCACAGTGCTAATCAAGCATTAGCTACAGAGGTTTCTCTTCACCGTTTCATATTTTTATTTTTCTTCCCTTCTTCATCATTGAAACAAAAGAAAATATTGTATCATATTTATTCAGCCAGTTGCGAACGTAGATAAAGTTTTTTCTTTTGAAACTGAGATAGCTAGTGCATGATACATAGAGAAGGAAAAAGCCATTACTTGTTTTGCAGTTACAGGGCTTACGTAGATGATGGCTATCCAACAGATTAAGGCACTCATAGTTCATCCTTCTTCATTTCTATACCCGTTGTTTGAACACTGTAATGAATGTCTCTTTATCTCCTTATCATGGTCCGGTTATCTGAATTCGACTGATTATTATTAACACATGAATTTCTTGATATTGTAATGATACCACAATTTGTCAAAAGTTAATTCAAAGATGTTTTGTGCTTCTCTCTAACTGTGGTAATGTCACAGAACAGTTTTTTTTTGTTATATTTCAAAGCGATTTGTTCCACTGTTTTCAATCGTTTGGTATGAGTGTTTTTTTTCGTATTTTTTAAGGCAACCGATTAGAATATTTTATGAAACTATTTTCAGAAAATCCGGAACTCAAATATGCTAATACATAGAAACTCATGGATTACTTTTTTTTTCAATATTTCTTATCTGAATTGCTATTTTTGCACCTTGTTGAATTTAGATCAGAGGTTTTAGACTTCACATTTGGAAGGAGATGATGCTTAAGATCATTTGTCGCTTTTTTTGGAATGAGGGACTAAAATTATAGCGCAATAAATATATAATATTCTAAATCAGATTTCCGTGATTACGGCGTTAAAAGGAATCACTGAGAAAATTACATCCTTTATTTATTTTCCATGAATAATGGTTTGGATGAATTAAAAGTTTTTTATGAGAATGTAACGTTTTTATTTAACGGAAAATTCACATATATATTCTTTTGAGAGAGATGCCTAAGATCATTTGAGATCAAGATCATTACTTCTTAAAATTCTCACGTAATGGTTTCCCATGATTGGATGATTTTATTTCCCTTAAATTATGGCTTTCTTAAAACAGTTTATTGTACAATCATAAGAAATTCCTATTGACTGGTATGTATTATGTGAAAAAATAGATTTCATCAATTTGTTCATTATTCACTTTCACATATCATTTTCGCAGTCACACTGTGATCCATGGTTTCTTGTTCATTATACTACTGGGATTGATATTTCGACGATATCATATTTAAACTTTTTATTTATAGGATGGCTTTACGCCACTAGCAGTTGCCTTGCAGCAAGGTCACGATCGTATTGTAGCTCTTTTACTTGAAAATGATACACGCGGAAAAGTGCGCTTGCCGGCATTACATATCGCTGCTAAAAAGGATGATACAAAAGCAGCTACGTTATTGCTTCAAGTTAGCCTTGTTTTGTAAAAAGTTCTTTAGATATTGACTGTTATTCATACCCAGCAACTGAATATTTTGGCACATGTCCTTTAGATATGCTTGTTTGGTAGAAGAGAATTACTTTTGTCATAAGTTCAAAGTGATGAATCTTCATCTGCTGATGGCGAATAAATGTTAGCTACTAGTATGTGCGCTTACGGACGTTATATATTGTTGTTTGAAAAGGATGATGCGAAAAGAACCACGTTGAAATAGAAATTGATTTCGAAAAAGCAGGGATATGTGGGCATTATGCATGTTTCTTAAAGACTCAGCTAAAAATCGATTTTAGAATGAGCACAATTCGGATGTGACTTCGAAAAGCGGTTTCACTCCGCTCCATATTGCTGCTCATTATGGAAATGAGAACGTAGCGCAACTGCTGCTCGAAAAAGGAGCCAATGTGAATTATCAAGCGAGACACAATATAAGGTATGTAAATGCTGAAACATCCTTGAAATATTCAGCTTAAAAAGTCATCTTAGGGACGGAAATCCGGGGAGGAAAGGAACTTAATCGTAAATGGGTGGCGATGCCTTCCTTAGAATTCCAACAGAAAAGTGCAGAGTACTGGTTAAATGCAGATAGATAAGCCTTTCAAGGTTGTGTCTTAAATAAATCCGTTACTGTCACCAATAGCTAGTTAAAATAATTACATTTGATTTGCTTTTTCTGCAGTCCCTTGCACGTAGCAACAAAGTGGGGACGCGCGAACATGGTTTCGTTGTTGTTAGCTCACGGGGCCGTAATTGATTGTCGCACGCGTGATTTATTGACACCGTTACACTGTGCTTCTCGTTCGGGCCATGAGCAAGTTGTTGATTTACTGCTTGAAAAAGGAGCTCCAATCAATGCTAAGACAAAAGTAAGTACTGTTATGCTACAATTTCGACATCCTCCTGACAATGCCTTTCTAACAGTTTCTAGTAAATATTATTAGAATAATCGGATATAAAAACTTGCAGAATGGTTTGGCTCCATTGCATATGGCAGCACAAGGTGACCATGTAGACAGTGCTCGAATTCTGCTATATCATCGAGCTCCGGTTGATGATGTTACTGTTGATTATCTTACTCCTCTTCATGTGGCTGCTCACTGCGGGCATGTTCGTGTCGCTAAGCTTCTGCTGGATCGTAATGCTGACTCAAATGCTCGCGCCCTCAATGGTTTTACACCGCTGCATATCGCTTGCAAAAAAAATCGCATTAAGGTTTCTTTGCAATAAATTATTGTTTGAGTATTATATTTATGATTTGTGTTCGTTTCTTGTTATTTATCAATTGCGGCTGTATAGGTTGTTGAGCTACTGCTAAAATACCATGCTGCCATCGAGACAACCACAGAATCCGGTCTGTCACCGTTACATGTTGCTGCTTTTATGGGTGCTATAAACATCGTCATTTACTTACTGCAGCAGGTCCTTGTTTAACTTTTTTTGGATTAACTATTATACATTTTTTATTCGTCTTATGGATTTTCCCACAATTGAGAGTTGAGAACTGGGATAAATATTTTCCCCCTCATTTTTTTCATGTAATTTATAATTTCCCTCATCTTTTATTTCATATATATCTCTGATCTTACGTTATATATTCACATGTAAGAGCAAGCGAGTGTGATTTCCTTTTCAATGATCTTGGATTTTTCTTTTTTGTACGTCTTCTTTGCAATAATCAGTGCGCAGGCTAACACGGTCAAATTAAGAATATACACAAGTTGTAAAGTTATGTAGAAATTTTACTAAGAAGGAAATGAGATATCAATAACTCTTCTCCATTTCAGGGTGCTAATGCGGATGTGGCTACAATACGTGGTGAAACACCTCTTCATTTAGCCGCACGAGCAAACCAAACTGATATTGTTCGTGTTTTGGTGCGTAATGGAGCCCAGGTTAGTCAACGTTTTATTCTTGAACATTTAGTTATTGATAATTATTTGTTCTAGGATCTAGCATTTCTTCGTACCACAGCATTCTATCTTTCGAATTTTTTGGAGAAAACTTGTATACATTGTTGTTAGATAATATTGAAATATGCAGTTATATTTAAATATTTATTTAAAGGTAGATGCTGCAGCACGTGAGTTACAAACTCCGTTACACATTGCATCACGTCTTGGTAACACCGACATTGTCGTCTTGTTGCTGCAGGCTGGTGCATCACCAAATGCTGCTACACGGGATCTCTATACTCCGCTTCATATTGCTGCCAAAGTAAGCTTAATGGAAAAGGAACCATTTGTTCTTTTAAACCTAGAATCTATAGATTCTTCACTTTTGAAATACTACAGGAAGGGCAAGAGGAGGTAGCTGCAATATTGGTAGATCATGGAACCGACAAGGCACTTCTTACTAAGAAGGGTTTCACGCCGTTGCATTTAGCTGCTAAATATGGCAATTTACCTGTAACGAAACTATTGCTGGAGCGAGGAACACCGGTTGACATTGAAGGCAAGAACCAGGTAGCTTGAATTATTATTGGTGTATTCCTGAAATGTCACTGCATCTTGATTTTACATTATATTATGTCATCGATAACTTGTCTTTTTAAGTTTTATCGAAAATTTTCGAGCGCAGCAGATACTAAATTATTTATGACACATCACTAAGTGCCATTATCATCCAGTAACATTCATATTTCAGAGTTTTACTTATGTGCAGTTTTGTTTTCATTGCAAATGTATACGGTTGGAGAACTATTTTAGACGAATGATTTTCAAACACCAGTGACCATTCCATTTTAGGTGACACCTCTGCATGTAGCGGCACATTACAACAATGACAAGGTGGCGTTGCTACTACTAGAAAGTGGTGCTTCTGCACATGCTGCTGCCAAGAATGGATATACTCCTTTACATATTGCGGCGAAAAAGGATCAGATGGATATTGCTAGCACCCTTCTTCATTATAGGGTATCGCTTTGCATCTACATTTTCCGTTTTAGACATATATGATTACATGGATTTATAATATCCTTTCGCTTTATCTAAACGGCTTATTTTTACGCATTGGATGATGTTAGATGTTATTTGTGCAAAAGCTGATCACCTTTCTATAAAAGTAAGTTATTGTTACTATTTTTGACATATTGATTTTTTTTGAAGGCAGATGCGAATGCTGAAAGCAAAGCTGGATTCACACCATTGCATCTTGCTGCCCAAGAAGGTCATCGCGAAATGGCTGCTTTACTGATCGAAAATGGAGCAAAGGTAGGCCTTAGAAAAATCAAAAGGTAGGAAAAATAAATTTCACATGTAGTGTTATATTACTTTATTGACGTATTAACTTTGCAGAGTGAAAAACTTGCAATTCATAAAGTGTAGGTATATTTGTTGCATACTTCAGGTTGGAGCTCAGGCAAGGAATGGTTTGACACCAATGCATCTGTGTGCACAAGAGGATCGTGTCAGTGTAGCAGAAGAATTGGTGAAAGAAAACGCAGCCATTGATCCCAAAACGAAAGCAGGATATACGCCACTGCATGTTGCTTGCCATTTCGGTTTGGTTTTTTCTCTGATGGATTTCCATTCATTCTCATTTTACGAATTACAGTGTTGAGAGATTTGCAGGACAAATAAACATGGTCCGCTTCTTAATTGAGCATGGCGCACCGGTTTCGGCCACTACTCGTGCTTCCTATACTCCGCTGCATCAAGCTGCTCAGCAAGGACATAACAATATTGTGCGTTATTTGTTGGAGCGCGGTGCTAGTCCAAATGTCCACACATCGGTAATAATTAATTTTCGGGATAAAAATGACTTTTTGACAAGTTTATATGAGCAAGTGCTTGAGAAATTAAGGTAAGCATTTAAGAAAATATGAATATTGTTGTTGCGGTGAAGAGCTTTATAAAAAATGGGAAGTATATTTTCAAGGTAACTAAAAGTGGCATTTTGGTGATTAAATATTTTCATTTTATAGACAGGACAGACTCCGTTATCAATCGCTGAACGTTTGGGTTATGTGTCCGTAGTTGAAGCACTTAAAACAATTACCGAGACTACCGTGATTACGGAAACCACAACTGTTACCGAAGAAAGGTATAAACCTCAAAATCCCGAAGCAATGAATGAAACCATGTTTTCTGATTCGGAGGATGAAGGTATTTATTATATTTATTACTTTTTAGTCGAATCGAATAGTAATATATAATGAGTCATTTGCCGATTTTTCATTATTGCCTTTAAAGAAAACAGTTAATTAATTAAGCGAATTTTGTTTAGTGTTAGACGTGTAATCTTAGGAATAGATGGACAACATATACTTTCGGTAGTCAAATAAAAATCACACTTTCTTCCCAGCACAATTTTTTTGTGAGTTCATTTTTCCCTCCCGTAATTGCTGTTGTACCAGATCAAAAAAATTTTCGAAAAATTACAAAATCTTGATAACTTACAAAAGAAATGAAAACTAGAAAAAGTGTAAATGAACAAGCAGACGATATATTTCAGTCATAAGGACCTGCATAGGCCTTCAATCAAAAAAGCAAATATTAGGTTCAAAGGGAGTAAGTTCCCTATCGTGTTACACGAATTTGATGACGAGAAGAGGCATTATTGTGTCTAGTCTTTTTTTTTTTCACGACTAGTTCAACTAAATATAAAATGTGCTGGATAATTTTTGACATTAACGGAATTGCTGTGCTCTAAATGCACACTTTTCAATTATTTTATCTGGAAATTTATTAGCAAGAAAATGTATTCGATGTGAACATGGATAGTGAAATTTGAAAATTAGCTGTTGATTTTTGCTATAAGCAACAGCTGAATGCAGTGCTCTCTCATTGGGGGTAACGCGATTCTCTTGCTTGCTATTAATGTATTAATGTTATAAGCGCAGTATTGATTAGTAGTTTAGTAACATTACTCACGAAGATTGGATTAGCAGTTGTTGTGGTTGTGTTGTTGAATGCTTCTGCTATTGTTGTTGTTGTTGTTGTTGTTGAGCGTTTGTTCGTCGATTCAGCACGGAATACATTGGAGGAAGACGCGTCACATCTTCGTGCCCTGGCACATTCGCCGTTACGCTTGTCAACATCAGATGACCATGACCTGAACTTCTTTCCCAATCACACTTCAAGCCCTTATCCTTCACCTGGAGCTACTCTGATTTATTTATCACGTATGATTTTTTTATTTCTTCCTTTTCGCATTTTAATCTTTTTTATCTGTTTTTGATTTGTACTTTTTGATTTCGAATTAATATAGAAATATCATTCTCCACATGGTACCGTCAAATATTTGATTTTTTTTGTGGATTACAATCCACGAATATTAGTTATTAATGCGCTAACTGGATAGGATTCAATGTGATCGCTTCTGTACTTATGGCTATTTAATATGTTTGCGGTGCTGTTCGTAGTGATGATAGAGTAGGGGTGACGATGCCTACACTGTAATTACTAATATTTCCATGAGGTTCCTAAATGACCATTATCTTTTGCATACATCTAGCCGCTGTTGTGCGGTTTGATTTTGTACGCAGAGATAATAATTGTACCTATTACAATTCTTAGTGGAGCCTTTCTTCATTACACAATGTCAACATGCTTTTTATCAGCATGCTGATATATGTTAACGATTTGCCGCGAGATATTTTTATTGTTGTCGATTCTCGCATGAATAGCGGTCGTACAATTTCTCACCTGATGAATTTTTGACTCACCTTCATTTTTTTAGCGAGACTTCATAGATTTTTATTCGTTTCAAGAAGTTGTGATGCTCTTTCCAATTTCAGTCCCTTTCACTGTTCCCTAATTTAGCAGTTTTGAATTTATACCTTCTAATTTTTTTCGGGCTGAAACAGGATCTAAAAGATGATGTATAGTAATGCCAATTTCTCTGCTTTTCATTTGGTGTGTTCCTATCCATATACGTTCTCTTTTCTCTCCTTCTCCCTTCTCTGCATTCATATCTATGTATACATCGCATGCACGCGGTTCTCGCTTAGATTAGGCTAGGTTAGTTTACAGAAAAGCTGCAAGATATAGGGTCAGTGACCATTGAAACTGTGCTCAGGAACGACTTGCCTCACTGTTCATCCCTGATAACAGGCACATTTGTCTTTAAATTTTAATTTTCAAAAACTCTTATTGCGTTTTGTTATTGCATCGGAATAACTTTATGATTTTTTTTTGGCTCTTTATGAATTTATCTTTCTGCAGATAAATATCGTATGAACTGGAATAGTCTCTGTTATCTGAGATATGATCTTGACAGAGTTGACATAGATTTGTGATGACGATATATTGCAGGAAAGATTCAGATAAGAACTCCCTTGTATTCTCTAATAGATGAAGATGAAGTGTGTACGTTAAAGACTTGTTACAGGTGATGATAATCAGATCACAGCCAATACTCATGCCCATGATTTCTCAGAAAGCCTCACAAAAGGTTTGCACGATTCAACTGGTGTGCATTTGATTCATGCTACAGAACCGGTATTTTTTTTGCATACTGCGAGAATCGTTTGTGTTGATTACTTCATGTATTATAAATATAGTCAGCTTTTTAAAATGGTCATGGTCTATTTTGTTGATTTCATTTTTTCCATGAACCTCAGTTATGTTATCCAAGACTCTAAGTGTACTGGAGGGAGAGAGTGATTCGTTCTATTACAAGACGAGTTTCAAAATGACTTGTAAAAATTCAGATTTTATAGTGATTACTATTATATTATGCTCTGTTCTTCATTTTGGATGCAAAAAAAACATCCCACTCTTGAAATGCCTTTTAATGGAAATCGATTGCGATGTGGTATATCGAATAAGTTGTGTACATTTGCAGATGCTGTCACGAAGTCCGGAAGTGGAAGGCACGGACGGCGATCTGGATGCCTTAATTCGCAAAGCACAAGTAATGCGTTCTATGTCTTGTTATTTGATTAACATTAAGGGTTGTGTTGTTCATAAACATAAAATAGATTAAAACAAAGTAAGAACCCAGTTCTAGTTTTGAATGTCTTTAGACGATGTGGAACATATGTGCCTTCATTTTATATATATGATTCATGAAGTAGGCAGTTTTATTCTTTATAAGCTTTTGCTCGCGATTATAACAAAATTCATTCTAGCATGAACCCGTTACTACAGCGATGGCTGACCCTTCTTTCGATGCGTCGCTTCCTGATAATGTTGCAGTAACGAGAACCACAGTGCAACCTAGGTAACTTGAACTGTTTTTGGTTGAATACTTATAACAAAATATCACCTGATTACATAGAGACATAATACTGCAGCGCTTCATTTAATGCACCAGTTTTTCTTCGGAAAATCCATGCTGCTGATCCTCATCGTCATATGTTCTCTTTTCAATGAAGTGCGACCCATAGAACTGATGTTGTCAAATTTATAATTTATTTATTTCAGCAAACTTCTCCATAAAACGTGAGTTTTTAATATTAGTTGTACGTAGTTTTGGCGCTTTACCGTGCGGCATGTTCTTTTTCTTTCATTCTCTCTGAAGGGGAATTTTCCTGTAGTTTTTCTCAGCTTTTTTAAATAGACCTTTAAGAAAATTTGTTACATTTTGCTTGGTGAACGCTGATAAGTACTACAAAGTTATCGTCGTTCATTTTTGAAAATCAGAAGAAGCATCTTCTTAATTTATTTTTAAACCTATGGGTTCGGATTCCCCTAGTTCTCATACTGATATGCTGCCCGCGATTCATCTCTGTAATTGCTCTTTGAATTAGACGTGCTTCCTCCACTTTTACTGCTTGTTATATATTGAAACTCTTTCAACTACAAATATATATTCATGAATTTTACGGAAGCCAGTGAAATTTGAATTATACACGAAATGAGCTTCATTTGTTTTGTATTTGTTACTTCCTTTGGAAGAATGCTTTGCTGAAAATCAGCTCTTCCCTTCTTGATGTAATTGAATGCCTTGAGTATATCTCTATTTTGGATGGTGAATGTTCGCCTCTTTTCTCATGAACTTCGAGCTTTTAAAACTGAAAGAATGGCAGCACTAACTTGCGGCTTTTATTCACTTATTTGTCGTTTCATCAGTCAAGTTAGGTGCTATTTCAGCTTTTTAATTTCGTTTATGGTGGACGCACGTGGAGGAGCAATGCGTGGTTGCCGGCATTCTGGTGTCAGAATTATTATACCGCCAAGAAAAGCACCACAGCCCACACGTATCACATGTAGATACCTTCGTAAAGTAATGTTTTTAATTGCTTCGAAATATTAATTGGATTTAATTTTGGAAGGTTTTTTATCCCATATTTGTTTGTAGGATAAGTTAGCACATCCACCACCGTTAAGTGAAGGTGAAGCGCTTGCCTCGCGTATACTTGAAATGGCACCACATGGGGCAAAATTCTTGGGTCCTGTTATATTGGAAGTACCACATTTTGCATCACTTCGTGGACGAGAGCGCGAAATTGTCATTTTGCGTTCCGATGATGGACAACACTGGAAAGAGCATCAGCTCGAGGCAACGGAAGACGCTGTACAAGAGGTATATGCAATCAATTTTTTTTTTCAGACTACTAAATCCCACCTATATTTTTTTATGAATATGAAAAAGTTGACTCCTTTTCAGGTACTAAATGAATCATTTGATGCAGAAGAGTTGTCGCAGCTTGATGATTTACATACATCACGAATTACGCGCATACTTACCAATGATTTTCCAATGTATTTTGCGGTCGTTACCCGTGTGAGACAAGAAGTACACTGTGTTGGTCCAGAAGGCGGTGTAATACTCTCTTCAGTTGTTCCTCGTGTACAGGTTGATCTTGGAGATTCATGTCAAATGTAGATTAATTTTAAAACTTCTTCAGTGCTTCTAAATTGATGTTTATATGTATTTATTATTTTTTCTTAGTCAAATTCACTATAAGTTTTCCTGTTTCCACAGTGGGGAACATGTTTACTGGGTCATTCTTCTAGGCTATATTTCCGGATGGTTCCTTGACCAAGACAATCAAAGTATCTGTACAAGCTCAGCCAGTTCCACAAGAGATAGTCACCCGTTTACACGGGAACAGAGTTGCAGTGTCTCCAATTGTAACTGTTGAACCGCGTCGTCGCAAATTTCATAAGCCCATAACGCTTTGCATACCATTACCACAAAGCTCAAACAAAGGAATGTTAACACAATATAGGTATTACTTTACTTCAATTGTTAAGTCTTCTTTGTAAACCAAGAAATAATGCTGAATTACAGTATCAAGCTTTTACATTATATTTCAGTATTTAAAACCATTCTATAAATTCTAGCGGTCAACCAGGACAGGAACCACCAACGCTTCGTTTACTCTGCAGTATAACTGGAGGATCTGCTCCCGCTCAGTGGGAAGATATTACTGGAACTACACAATTAACATTTACTGGTTAGCTTTTTATCTTTCCAATTGTTCGTTTTGTTGAAATTAAAAAATTAACTTCCGATGAAGCAAAAGTGCATGATTAGTTCCCTTAGTTTAGCTTAATTTTTTGATGTTGTCTTACTCATTTTTTTGTGTATATAGGCGAGGACGTTTCATTCACAACTACGGTTTCTGCTCGATTTTGGTTGATGGATTGCCAAACTCCGCGGGATGCGGCGAGAATGGCACAGGAAGTTTATAATGAAGCAATTGCAGTTCCTTATATGGCTAAATTTCTTATTTTTGCTCGACGAACTTTTCCTACTGAGGGACAGTTGAGGTTCGTTTTCACCTGTTTATGGACGATTTATAATTAACTTTCTGTTATTTATTTTTTAAAGCTCAACTGATATGCAAAAATAATGTTGCACATGATGTCCAGGATTTTAGATTGTTTTGCATGACTGATGATCGGGAAGATAAAACCCTGGAAAAACAAGAGCATTTCATTGAAATTGCTAAATCTAAAGATGTCGAAGTTTTGAGCGGACGACATCAGTTTTTGGAATTCTCTGGAAATATTCTTCCAAT